TCACTTGAAGAACAAAACGGTGCAAGACACCGTTCTGTATGAAATTGTGTCCTCCAGTTTCTGCATCAAAATGTCAGTTGTGTCAGAAAATCTGAGGTAACAGATTTACATACAGAATTAAAGTGCAAAGGTAAAATATAATTATTACGACAGTCACAGACACAAAACAACAAATGCCAACAATACAGATTGGATCACTCTGCTATATAAAAATCAGCCCATTTCTCTTTACATAAAAGAGATCGTGCCTTAAGAATAGTCAAAAATCTAAGGAGAGGAACACAACCCAGTACAGGCTCAATTATTTGCAATCTTTTCATCTTGCCTAGTGCTTCTCTCTGCTAAAGTTGTTCGTATTCTGCACTGAGTTCTTCAGGACTCCTAAAATGCTTTATATTCTCTCTCCACTCGCTCGACTTCCCCCACTAAACCTGTGGAGAGAGGTAACAGGAAGCTGGTACCTTCGGGAAAGACCATTAAGGAAGAAGAAGGACCTTACCACTTCTGGGAGCAGCTTAGTTGAGAGGTCATGGATAGCTTTGACCACTATACATATGGATGAGAGAAGGAATATCACCCCCAAGATGACACAGGCTCTGCAAAGAAACAGAACATTGAGAAACTTAACTGGGAGAACTCCGCTCTGCTGGTTTACACAATGACAGTGGCAAAGACACAACCTGAGACATTGAGACCCAACCATAATTTGCCACACTCCCAACGTGACCACCCACAGTCTCAGAATTGATACTGTATCATCTCTAGAAGAATACGGGTCAGAATTTTATCACCAAAATCAACACCAGGGGAAAGGGGCTCACCATCCTACATAATGTCACAGCTTCTCATGAGTGCTGGCATGGAAGGGTCTCTAAGGCTGTGAAATACATACCCCCATCCTCATAACATGATATTTCACTCCTCCCTCAGCTGGACAGTACAGTTTAATAGCAAAGAGAGGAGGCTCTAGCATAATACACCCCTATCATTTAAATGTTGTTTATCTTGGATAAGCTACTTAACTTCTTTCAGTCTCTATTTTCTCACCTGTCAAATGGGAATAATATTTCTACCTGACAATGAAAGAGATAATGCACAGAGTAACCCATGAATGTTGGCTTAAACCAAGGAAAAGAAAAGTCCATCCTGGATGTCTCCTTCTGGTGAGAAGACACCTTTGGATTTTCCCAAAGATAAAAAGGAGGAATACTTTGGTAATGACAGAAGACAGCAAGCACATTTATGGCAAGATGGAGCAATTCTTGACAAAGAAATGAAGGGAGATAAGTTAAGGTCAACCAAGACACCCAGCAAAGGAAAGGGCTGGAGAAAATCAGGGATGAGGCCAAGGGTGAAGCCAAGGGTACACAGCCAGGGGTGTGACGTAAAAGAAAGTCTATGGTACTTGGGATGTAAGGGCTGTCTCTGGCAATCCAGACACAACAACTCACAGGAGAAAGAAAGATGGAAAATGAAAGTCAACATGAGAAAATGATGGTAGTACTACAAGGGTCAAAATACCAAATGAAAATGAAGAGAGAAAGAACAGACATCCAAAACACAACAAGGACTACAGTTAGCTCTAGATCACTCCTGTCCCAACCTAATGCCTCCAGCATCTGGTACCCTCCTCGGGCCTCTTCTCCCACTTTCAAATAAAATCGTTTTTCATTATCCATCTTGGATTTCCTTCTCTGGACTAAAAGAATGGCCCTAAATAACATTAAAGTGGCACCTACTTAGAATGCTAACAAACCTGTGGCTAGACGTGTTCCCCTAAATCTAGAAGTCAGAAATCGGCAGGTGAACCAGTTGCTGGGAGCCCACTCGGTAGAGTTCTAAGCCACACTCTAGTTGTAGGTTTTACACAGACAGAAAGAAGGCATCATTGCCTGCTGGGGTGAAATATGAAAGAACAGAGATGTAGGAAGTCATGAATGGGCTGGGGGTCTTGGTTCAGATTTGAGCAACAGAAAAACCTAGCCCTATAAACTAAATGGTGATCCGCCCTGGGTGCCACAAATCCTTGTAACTAGCCGGGGTGGGAGGGAACATACACTCAAGGGGGAGAAAAAATAATGCAGGCATAAAGTACACACTGACACAGCAGCAGTAATGAAGGACGCTAATGTGATGCATTGGGCTTGGGACTGCTCAGCACAGTCCTAGCAGGACGATCAAGGTGAAGGGGGCTACAGTTGAGAGAGGAGTCATACAGGTGTGCCTACAGGAGGCCCTTTAGTGACCAGATCTTGGGGCAAGACTAGGCTCTCCCAGGGCGTGATGGATCAATGCTCCCAAAGCAACCAGCCTCTGAGTCCCAGCCATGCCCACGGTTAAGATGGCTATGGGCCAGCCGTGTCCAACACCTGAAGTGGCCATTTCTACTTGTGAGCAAATGGGACTGTGACAGGTCACATTTTAGGAAAAGAACAAAAGTCAGGATAAACCTCTAAGATAAGATTTGTGATATGGTTTGTTTCCTCCATTCAAAAAACTCCTGACTAGCAGAGGCTCTCTCTTTGATTCACCCTTTCACATAAATTCAACCACCAACTCAGTGCTTCTCAACCCCGATGGCACATTGCACTCACCAGATTTTTTGAACAGCTGCCCAGAGACTGTTCCAGTTCAGTTTCATCAGAAACTCTGGGGGTGAACCCTGGCATCTGTATTTGTTTAAAAGCTCCCCAGGCAAGTCCCCACATGCGCGAGGGCCGAGGGTACCTGTCCAGAGCCAGGTGTGGCCTTGCCCTTAGGGAGCTTCCGCTATAGGCTAAAAAGCCACAACTCTCTGGATGGAAGGCAAGGAGGGAACGGTCATCCCAGCTGATGAGGAAGCAATGGCATCTAATGGTCCCTAGGAGATTTGTAGTGTATCTGCGTACACAGCAGCTTTCTCCTGAGACGAGCAGTGCAGCCACCACTTGGGTGCTAGACCTTCTACAGACCATTTTTCACAACATCCTCAAGAAGACTCCATCTCTACACTCCTCGGGGGGATAAGAAACAAACATCTGAGCTTCTCCCTGACAGGGAACAGTAGGACTGCAGGAATCTCTCTTTCTCCAGATCACCACAGGCATACCTCTATAGTGCACGAAAAGCAGATTTGGGTTTTGTTAACAATACTTAAGGAGACAAGTATTAAGAATACAATGGTCTCCTTACATAATATCTTGCTTATGTATCTTTAATTAAAACTATACCATAAATCCTTAAAGGGCAAGAACAGTACTTTTATATCTCAGTGTCTACCACAGCACGTAGCAGGTGCTCCATATGCATCTGTAGAGTGTACATAAACATTAACTAATTAATCCCTAGCTCATTTGTACGTTTCTATTACCAACGGGGATAGGAGGAGGAAAGACACTCCTGATACTTCAGCCAAAATGCCTGTGGAATAGCCCACATCGTAAAACAACTTTGAAGTGTAATGAAAATCAAAAGAAATTGATGATCTGGTTAGTTGCAATTGAATTTTACAGAACTGCCATCACATTTTCTTCACAAATATACCTATAAATATACCCAAAAATGTTTTAAAAACCTATTTGCAACCTCTTTTAAATGTGTTTCAAATTCAAAAACCACAGTCACCCTTCCTTCCCCACTGCTGGGAGCCTGTGTGTCAGAGCAGCTTCCACAACCTAAGCAGCTATTATCAGCAGAGAGTGTGATGCTATTTTTTTTAAACATTTTATTAATAATATATTGTGTTTACACAGCAGCTTTTTCCTCAGGCACTTCGAGTTCTGCACATCAGCTCATAAATGCCCTGGAGGCCACTCCCTAGACCTGGGTTTTTGTTTTCCTGCTATTTTATGGGTTGGGAATGAGAGAAGTATGTTTCATCAACACAAGGAATCAAAATGGGGGAGTCAAGGACTAAGAAGATTGCCCAAGGTCACACAAGGAGTCTGAAGTCCGCCCAGAAACAGAACCCAGGTCCTCTAACTCCCTCCCAGTGGCAAGTCCCAGTAAACCACGTGAGTCTAGAAGGCTCTGGACATCCACATCACAACCTCATGCCACCACCGCCTGGGGACTGTGGCGGTCGCCAGGATGAAGCGGAGATTTGGGTCAGGAGACAACACGGCTGCTTCTGAATCTGCAAGTGCGTGATGCTTCCTGGGGGAAGGGGGAGCGGCGAGGGTAACTGCTCCATCAGCACACTGTGGCCTTCACCTAGAGAGGTCGGTCTGGCAAGTAAAAAGGGCAGTGTGCCCACAGACCTGACAGCACTGAGAAGCCCAGTCACCAGAATGAACACAGACGACTCCTCCCTCCTGCCCACACCCCAGAGAGGGAGTCAGAAAGAGGCAAATAAACTACCAGCCCCTTCAATATAAGGGGTTGGTAGTTTATTTGCCGAATTTAAGCTCCCACAAGACCAGTGGTCATCAAAGCGTGGTCCACAGATCAGCAGCATCAGCATCACCTGGGAACTCATTAAAACAGCAAACTCTGGAGTCCAGCCCCAGACCAACTGAATCGGACACTCTGGGAGGAGCCCAGTGATCTGTGTTTTACCGTTTTAATAAGCCTTTTGGGTGATTCTGATGTATGCTCAAACTTGAGTCTGTACTAGTCTTGCCACAGACGTTTAATTTCTGAAAGAAAACCGGTTAAAGCCACCAGCACCTTCTTTTCTGTTCTGCTACAGACTATAAATTGCCAATTGTGTATAAGCATTATAAATCTATGAATAGCCTTGCAGGCAAGCATTCATTTTCACCTCTAAAATTACAGGGGCAAAATCTCTGACAGGTACTCTCACGTCCAAAATGATACGAGGCTGAAAGTTGTTGGTTTAAAGGCCTGTGGTTCACATTAATAAAGCCTGAGTTTTATTATTCCAATTCTAACTTATTTGCCGAAGAGAAGCGTCTTCTAATCATCCCCTAATTTATAAAAGATCTAAAGCATAGTAGTAGCCCTGCCAATTAACCAATTCAGTCTACAGCTTGAAGTGTAAATGTTTTATCATCTTTCACCCTAGTCTCCAAAGCACTTGTAATCCAGAACATTGTTCAATTGCGAAATAGTACACACAGCACTTATGGGTGCACGATTTCTAATGCTGTTTTAGTCTAGCTAGCTCCTATTTCGCTCCACGTATTCTGCCATTTTAAATAAAACGACAAACAAAATCAGTTTGGAGACAGGGTAAAAGGGAAGGAGAAACTGAGCCCAAAATGTTTATGAGCCATTTCTCATTTTCTATAATGGCTATGCCAAATAGTCACCTTTGTTTTTCAAGACTCTCAGCCTTCCTCACTCCATTACTACCAACACACTCCCCTCCTACTGCAGGAGTTCCCTCCTCTCCACTTTCTGTTCTTACTCATCTTAGCTCCTTCCTTTGACTTTCCTAGGCCCCATCTCTCTTCTCTACCCCATCTACGTGCTAAGCTGTGAACAGGTTGTAGCAGGGGAAGGGAAGCTTGAACCAGGGATGGTCACTCAGGACAGAACTCACTGGGCAAGTGGTCCATACCCTGCCCATGGGAAGATCATCCATCTCCTCAACATGTAACCATTTAAATCCTCTCCTCATTCAACAAACGGCCTTTTACTTATATCCGTAATA